AATGCGTGCCACCAATGAACTCTACCCATCCTCGCCGAACTTCACTTTCTGGTACCTGCTTTCCAGGCAAAAAATTCTAAGCTGGGCAGGTGCCAGTCAACACATATAGTCCCCACTTAAGTAGATAGCATATGTGGTGGGGATCTTATTATAGTATACACAAAGCCATATTCTATAATTCTATCTACTTAAGGGGGACTTGGGTTTCGGGCTTCGGTTTTAGGGTACATGCGTCTTCTAAAGGCGCCGATCTAGGCGATCTCCGAAAACTCTGGTCCTTCTAACCCCCTCCCCCTAACATCGACCCCCCACCCTCATCGTATACTATACTACTTTTGGGAATTTGTAATATTAGTGGGGGTGGGGCGGTGGTTATATTTGCGGGGGGGGGGGGTTACAGTACTTGTTTCGTACCATCCGGGCCTGGGCAGTGTCCTGATTTTCTTCAGTCTCGTACCTCTCCTCAACCACTTGCGAAGGTTTCAGCCAACATGTTCCAAAACTCCATCCTGGACCCCAAAAGTAAGTAAAATAATAGCCCAACAGTCAAAAATTTAGCCAAAAAGGCAATGATTCTACATACCTTTCGGGTTCAGGATTTAAGAACCTTTGGAAGCTTCTGCGCAATCAGCATCCTGCACCCGTCAGAACAATGAGAAGACACCCGAGCTCGACCGCAAAAGACATGTTGCAGCAAGTCAGACCTACAAGAAAGCGGTGGGTACGTATTTGGCCAATGAATCTCAGCTAGAAGCCTATCTGAGCAGTGCAGCACATGGGTTGGCTCCTCGTGGGAGAAAAATATCTATTGCGGTGCTCGACCGACTGTCTTAGGCGGTGCCTCCACACCCACGAACACTTGCTGGACGCTTGCGAACACGAATTGAGTGGTGGGGACAGCAGCTACGCAATAACGTGCTGTGTCGCTCATGCCAGCTGACAAATACGTAGCAACACAATTCAAGCCTCAACGAAGCCCAACAGTCGCACTTGTTTGATTCCGGCAAATCGTGCGCGGAGGATGCAGCGAGGGCGTGCCAAGCATCAGCGCAAACAGGGCTGCCCGCAGAAAAAGCCTCCAACTCATGAAACGCTTACGTGATTTAACCCATCCTGATCACAAGAAGCACTTGCTCACAGGGAGATCACAGTCTGCAGCTGTGGACTAGCTGCAGACAATGGACGCGGTTCAAGATTTAGGCTTCAGGGTTATTCAAGAGCATTACCATGCTGTTCACTCCTTGGGCATACATTGAATGTTGGGCCGCTGTGGTCGGCGTCGTCAATATCAGTAGAATCTTTTGGTTGGAATAGTTGGACATAGTTGGCCATAACTGGCCGTTACACGTATCTCTGGTCCTAATGCCGCTTGCTTGCATGTATTATTCCAAAAAATGGCGATTTGTCTTAGCCCTCAAACGGAGGGGCCTGCAGGACATGTTGAGGCTGTTCCCCTTATGGCTCCATGGGATACACATTCGAGGTTGCCTGAACTACTCTTCCCCGCAAGGAGGGGCACCTTTCTCAGCACCTGACTCTTTTTAGAATGCATTCGCCGAGTCGCGAACAGTGCAGGATTTCTTTTTGACTGCTTGCCATGCTGAAACTCAATAGCATATGAAGTGATGTGCTTCAAAAATCTAACTAGAAAGCAAACTGGCAGAAATTCTTGTTGGAGGTTGAAGCGGCTGCCCAGCCTTTAGTAGGGAATCGGGCTTGGATTATAGGGACGCTCTTCGGACCTAAGGATTGTACATTGACTTCTACATGGATCCGTTTCCCGCATTCCCAGCTAGGCATGCCTACGATTAAAGCTTCCACTGGCGGAAGAGAATTTCCCGAACCCCCTGGATCTCAGGCAGAAACCAGAAGAGCTTTACAGGAAGAAGCATGGGGTGCTCGAGAACTTTGTGATGTGCAGGATTCAGACCTCTTCCTTTGCTTACGTCCAAGACGAATCGCAAGCTCACACACATTACATGGACCCCACACCCGGTATTGGGCCCAATGAACCGTTACCTAGTGTTTACACTACTCCGTAATACGCCCCCATACAGCACTCTCGAATTCCCTACGAAGCATAGGGACACCTACCCTTATGCCTGGCAGTTTTGGGGTCCTTGAACCTCGTCAGCCTCTATGAGCCCCGGCCTTGCTTCCTAAGGCTCCTCTGAAGCTGTCAGAGGACCCCCTTCTCCTAGAGATACACTAGACAGCATTTCAAAGATTTGAAGCGGGGATCTGATTCTACCTTGGTGAGGGCCAACGGGGTGTAAGGGAGCGGGGTGGTAAGGGGCCAGGTTCAAACAAGGTCTAAATGAAGGTAGATCATTCTGTTACACCCCAGCACCATTTCTCCCGCCTAGTCTCCATGACTCTAGCCATCAACTGCGGCGCCTCTTTTTGGTCCTTGGTGTTCCTGCTTCACGGCCCCCACGCTTCCATGCCTTCTGCGTTGCAGCAGTAGCAATGCAGCTTGAGGCCGCACGGCAGGTAAATGGCACATATTTGGCTTAGGACCCACCCTGCAATAGTTGAGGGTTTAGAGAAGCCCAATGCAGTTGTCGCTGCTAGTGGGGTAGCCTAAGTCAATACGAGAGGATCTCCGAGGTCTAGAAAAGCAATGAGGCAAGCCAACGCTCAGCTTACCTGCTCAGTTCAGCGCAACTTGAACACTTTCTTCAAAGCCTCAGAAAGAAGACGTGAGCCATGCATGAAGGACTGGCAAAAACAACTTCCTTGCCCAGTTTGGTGAAGTGATATACATACGTGCCCCCAACCATGCAAACGAAGACAGAAGATCTAGCTGACCGCATACTCCGTAAAAACCTCAAAGGCCAAACACATTAGACGCCTCTTTCCGGCTTCCAGCCTGATCTGCCTTGGCTTACACAGCCGATCAACCTGGCTATCCTACACCCGAGAGCCCTGAACCCATGGGTCACAGCCCACATGGAACTAAGCTATTTTTGATACAAGGCTGTGAGATGTGTGTTTGACCTTGCCCCGTGTGCTGTGAGGCTGTTGTCACAGCCGATTTCTGCTTGAGTTTGCAGGAAGCCACCAGCTTGTGAACCATGAATTGGACATGGTGCACCAACTTTTGAGGCGCCTTGACAAACATCAACTTCAGGTGGCCACCCATTCTGCATTGGCTGCAGTTCATGATACCAAAAGGGAAATTTCTCGCAATTTAGTGGTTTGCAGTCAGACCAGGTGCTGGGAATTGAAGCACACCGTTTCTACTCAACCTTTCGATCTCTGCTAACATGATTATAAATGTATTGAAAGTTCTCAGCTGTAGGAGAAAGACTGTGTAGGTTTACTGTGCTACAAGAACGGACCCAAAGGTCGTGCTTAGTTCTCGCTGTGAAGTGCTTCCGACCATCCCAGCGTACTTCTTCCTACATTTCCGCGAGCCGGAGACTGTTGCACGATGGCATTTCAGAGCAACGATTTTCTGGCATGAGTAGTGCGTTCACTTTGTTGGCTGTAGCATGAATCACTGTGCGTGAGGGCTTCGTTACATGACTGACACAGATACGCTTAAAGGAATATAGGTCATGCACCTGCGAAGCGAGCTTTGCTTTTTGTGAATGGGTTTCGTGGTGGCTGTGCCATTGATTTCGTGAACTGGGAGTTCCCAAATGATGCTAATGCTTGCTGGGGTTTAATGGGAAATAAGGGAATATACTGTATAGGAATTATAGATGGGGATTGTATTCCCTTATGCCTGACCAACCCACAGTAAGAACGAGAAGATATTCAGCGATTTTCAGGACTGCAGAGTCATGATCAGTGAGAGGCAACGGGTGGAATCCACCTGCTGCCAAACGTTTTAGAAAAGGGACTCTAATTATGGAAACTACCCACATCACAAGCAGAATGCGAGATCAGGGTTGGGACAGCCGGCGGGATCAGTCCCATCAGAAATTCTTTGCATTGTACGTGATGCGTCTACCAACGCATCTGTTGTTTTTGCCAGGCGGCTGACGCGCCGCCCCGACACCAAATTATAGGGTTTTTTCGGGTTACGCAATCGTCCAAGCAGAATGTCAATGTGCTTAAAAATTGGTTTTGGGACATTTTCAGGTTTTGGATGTGTCTTCGGCACGTATGGAAATGCAAAAAACCTTGTTGGGGAAAAACAGTTTTCCTGTTCAAAGTCCAACATTTGAGTGCATTTAACACGAATTTATGTTGCGAAGAGGCTCTTTAGCAGGTAACTTACAGTATTTCGATGCGCGGCAGAACAGGAAAACTGTCTTTTTGTGTCCATGTCTCTAGTGCATCCATGATCGAGAGCATCCATGCTGGCCAAGATAATACCGTTCATGTCTCTAGTGCATCCATGATCGAGACCATCCATGCTGGCCAAGATAATAACGTTCATGTGTCTAGTGCATTCATGATCGAGAGCATCCATGCTGGCCAAGATAATAACGTTCGAGTCTCTAGTGCATCCATGATCGAGAGCGTCCATGCTGGCCAAGAATGCTGGGGAGATGCTCTTTAGCCTTTAACTTACAATATTTCGATGCGCGGCAGAACAGGAGAACTGTAATGTTGCGCCCATGTCTCTAGTGCATCCATGATGGAGAGCATCCATGCTGGCCAAGATAATGCCGTTCATGTCTCTAGTGCATCCATGATCGCGAGCATCCATGCTGGCCAAGATAATAACGTTCGAGTCTCTAGTGCACCCATGATCGAGAGCATCCATGCTGGCCAAGATAATAACGTTCATGTGTCTAGTGCATCCATGTTCGAGAGCATCCGTGGCCAAGATAATAACGTTCATGTTCCTAGTGTATCCATGTTCCCGAAAATTATCAACTAAGGTAAGTATTTTGGAGAATTCCATGACTTCCCAGATAAGCCCTATAAAGCAAAAACACTGTAAATTACAGTACTTTTGCATTTTCCTAACGTGCAAAACATAGGGGCGGCAGGTCAGCCGCTTACCTTGTTTTTCTAAGCCATGCAGCAGTTTCAAATCTTCAAAGCCAGGCTGCGTTCCCGAGCTTAGTCGCCTTTTTCTCCAAAGCTTCTGCAACGACTTTATGCATCTCCCGAATGTGGAAGGTGTACTTCTTGCAATGGATCATCTGCAGGTTCCTGATGCAACGGTTCTTCAAAAGGAATACATGCAGGTCCCGATGGGCTTTCGGGTTTCGGCCGTTTATTGCTTTAAGGGTCAACCGTTATTTGATAGATACCCTCATGGGTTTACCCCACTACCCCCCTCTAAGCTAGCAGGGGGTAGCATAAATGGGGGTAGTAGGGCAACTCATGATGCTCTGCGCCTTGGCGATTCATGTGTTAATCCCCTCCCCCTAACATTAAACACCCCCCCCGCATATGAGGGTTTAGGATTAAATGTTCCCGTAGTTTAGAACCAGCCACTGGTACACCCCAAGCGCTTGGTGTTTGCGCAAACGAAGGCGCCCCAATCCTACTCTAAGTGATGAACTTATAGTACAACTACAGGAAAGACACCAAAAACCGCCGTTGCTTTGGCAGGCATTCCCTCAGGATTCAAAGTCCCAAATACTATGATCTGGATTGTTTCCCGAGTATTTGGGCACTTGGAGCCGAAACTCCGAACCCTACAGCCCAAAACTTAAACCCCAAACTCCAAACTCTTAACCAAACTCCAACACGGTCCAAGCCCTAAACCCATGAAGCCTATAAAATTCAAGGTTCAAGTTCCAGCCGGCACCAGCGTCTGTACGCGTTGCGCAGATCTGGTTGTTCTTAGTCACATGTTTAGGGTTTAGGGTATAGGTTTCTAGGGTATAGGTAGGTTATGGTTATCATGGGTTCTGCCCTTATTTCTCCACCCCCAGCCCCCCACGAGTCTCCAGGCTCCTGATTCATCAGCCCAAATTATCCCTACACAAATGTAATCCAATATAACCCCCTAACACAACCCTAGAATTACACTAAGATATCCCTAATACACCAGGGTACTAACCGTACGGATAGCTGATAATAGCTGTCTTGGCTTCATAGAGCAATGCTTACAGGCCCTCACTTCTCAGCGGCCAGAGTCAAACATCTGCAAATTTCTGGCTTCATTTGTGCGCCCTTCTTGTGCAACACGTGGGTTGCGTAATGCGAACCTCCAGGATCCTAAACCCGAAACTGTAAATGGCGTATCTCATTTTTTGGTGGGGGACATGCCTGAAAGCCCAGCATCTTTATGTTCAATGTTGAAAGTGTCGCCGTGATGCTGCTCCAAAAGGCGGTATTCGGGATTTCCCGCCAAGTAGTCACCTCAACGGAACACAAAAAGATAGTCTCCATCCACCTGGTCCTTACGAAGGAATCCAGGAATAGATCCCATAGTAGTCCCTGTAAAGTCCCATCCACTCAGCCACCCCCCCCTCCCCCCCGGGAATCCCTTTGTCAATCTACTGCAATAGAGAGGGGAGAAGCGTTGGTGTTTGTGGTCTTTTCGTCTCAGTGAAGCCAAAGGCACATTGAATCTTCCGGTGCTCGGGATGATCGATGCACTTCTGTTGGCCCTGGCTGGTGCCAAAGTTGATCTGCACCCTCTCCCAGCGCTTTTCCTGCTTCTGGCATTCTAACCTGCCCATGGCTCAAGGGAGGAAATGTACCTAGGTTCTAATGAAAGGATTGAAACACTAGCAGCGCTGACAAATTTAGGGTCCAGGGTTGACGGCGACTCAAACGGACAGGGGAACGACATGGGGAGTGCTTTGAAAAACGTTGGGGCATATAGCAGGGCCACCTATCCTGGGACTACCATGAGTAGTGCATTCCTGGGGGGTCCCGCGAATTCGTCTTCCTCTTCCAGAACATTAGAAGCCAGAGGATCATAGAACCTCGCTCTACAATGGCTCTATGGTATCTTTTGAAAACACTATCCACGTGAAATGTCACCCCAGAAGCTTCAGATTCCCAAACCCTTACCCGCCAAAAGTATACAGAATAAAAGCCTTGTTGGCTATGTTTCTGGGTTTGGGGCTATTATTTTACCCACTTTCGGCGTCCAGGTAACCCCCAACCCTAAATCCTGAACCTCAAGCCCCTAACCCTAAAACCTAAACCCTAAGCCCAGAAACTGCAGATTGCCGGTCCATCCATGATATCCATCCAATCGCCTCGCACACAATAATACTGTTGTGCTGGGTTGCTGTGAAGGAACTTGAAGTAAGTTGTCATAATATAGGACAGGTAGGGTTAAGGGTTACGGGTTTGGGGGTACCACAGTATGGGTCTATAGTAAATAATAGGGTTTCTTCATCAGGCCCGGGTAACTTAAGCTCAAGATCCCTTTCAGCAACCCAGTTTGGTTCCACTTATTGTTCAGGGACGAGTAGGGAGTTTCTCCAAATCTGGGTCATTCATTGCGGACCGCCACACATGGCTGGCCTTGTTGTGAAACCCAACGAGGAAAACAAGACCAGATGATAAAGAAGCTAATCCAGCACGGAACCAGGGTAGGGGTCCGCACTGGAGATACCATAGGGCATACTTTGAGAAACCAATCTAATCCTTTTGTTCTCCAGCAGAAATTCGCAAGGTGCCCAGAAGCCGAAAAATCCTTGTTCAAGAAACCCATCCTGCAAATGGTTGTTCTGCGTTGTTCAAACACAAGGGACGGCCTGGCCCTTCAACATATGCTGGTTTACGCTCAATAACAACAAGGTTGCAACGTAATGCACCCCACGCCAATCTTCTTAGGGACAATTGCTTGGAATGAAATGTGCTTCAGAAGTGGGACATACAGAGTAGCTCGGAGTAGCCCTTGTGCGTGACATACCGAAAATACATAACAAATGAACATGCAACATGCGGAGTCTCATTCGACGACGTTCAAAAAGACTCTTGACGCAGCGGGGCCTTAGACCTACAACTAGAGGTTACAGTACCACCTCTGCACAAGAACACGCACTTCTGCAACATGTGGGCAAATTACAACGCACTAGTCTTAGCCGTGACAGTACTTTATTGTTATGACATGGGCTTTTGCCCACCTGGCTCATGAGTTCTTATGCCAGCAGATGCCTCGCGCAGATGCGTTGGATGTGATCCTCCCAAATCACGAAAGGATGATACCAATTGACAGTCTCGTCGCAAACAACCCGGTGCTCGGGCAGGAAGCACCTCAGACCCATTGCATGTGGAAGGGTACTGGACAAGCAAATTGACGCCGACTCATTTTCTTGATTTTGCTACCCAACCTCACAATGGAGTTGCTTGATTCTGAGTAGACTATGTTTTCCTCCCCCTCCGCGCGGTGCCCGCTCGAAGAGTATCCAAGCAGCACGTATCCCTGGCGTGCTCAACCGCAGAATACCCCTGCAGTCCCCAACTGCTGAATATGCAGCAGTGCCCAACCGCAGAGTATCCCTGCAGTGTGCAAGCAAAGAATATCCCTGCAGTGCCAACCACAGAGCATCGCTGCAATGCCCAACTGCAGAGTATCCCAGCAATGCCCAACCTCACAATCTCCCAGCAGTGCTGGACCACTGAGTATCCCTGTAGCCTGTAGCACCTAACTGAAGAGTATCCCTGCAGTGTCCAAACGCAATGTATCCCTGCTGTGCCCAGCCCAACCCTAAAGCACCCCAATATGTAATTCAAAACAGCTCAGCTCCAGACTTTCCCTGCCACGACCACCCCCGCACTCTCCCTGCAGTGGCCAACCGTAGGATTTCCCCGGTGCACAGCCGCAGCGCATCCCGGCAGTGCCCAAGCGCAGAATATCCCTGCAGTGCTTAACCGCAGCCTCTGCCCAACCCAAAATACGCCCGAGCTTCCCTGCATTGTCAAACCACAGAGTATCTTGGCAGAGTATCCCTGCAGTGTCCAACAGCAGAGCATCCCTGCAGTGCCAGAGGTTGCCTGCAGTGCCAAACTTTGGGGTATTCCACGAGTGCCCAGCCACAAGACCTAACTACAAGAAATCCAACGCAAGCCACTCCGCTGCCCTTACGGTAGCGCTTGCAATGTACAGTTGTTGTGTCTGCAGGCTTGCGCAAGGTGTTGGAATTACATTGTGGATGCATGTCCCGAATTGTTGCTGGAAGTAGTTGATGATGACCGGCAACGACAAAAGTAAAAGGATGGGGACGTTTGTAGTAGATGTTTTCCAGGGTGAGTCTTGAAATATGGAAAGCCTGGCAAGCTATCAAATTTCGAGCAAGTATGCTTGATAGCATTTAAATCATATCATGTGGAGCTGTGCAGATGCTCCAGGTGCCACATTTCAAAACATCTTGGCCGATTGCAGGTTTGAGGCTTCAAAAGATGCAGGGTGAATCAAACTGTACTGCTAAGGGGTAACTGTCGTCATGCTATTGATAGCTATAGCAATGCGGATACTATAAGTGATAGCAAATAGACGGCATGTGAACCTGATATGGATGGGAAGAAGAGTGAAAATCAAGTAATGACAGTCGCGGCTATGAAGCAGAATAACCACCAGGCAGGAGCAACAACAAGAATGATTCTTGTGAACCTTCTCATAGTTGTAGCGCTACCAATGACAACAATGGGAGGGACCCGGTAGTGCCCGCAAAGACATCCAAATGCAGCCATCAAAGATCATCCCTTCATACTAGTATCAAACATCCCCCGCAGCCCTGAAATTGCATATGCACACCCACATGTAATTCGGGAAGGGAGGTGTTTAACACTAGTATGAGGGGATGATTCAAGCTCCTAACGAAGTAACGACCTCCGAAGGCTGTCCCTCTGAGCAGCTCCTCCAACATCATGATGGGCCATTATCATTACTATGGTTATCACTCATGCTACCATTACTATTACTACTATTACCTGTATGATTCCTACCATGATTATAACAATGATTAGAATGATTTGATTTTATTATTACTACTACTGCCACAGGTATCTCTACTACCTTTGCTACTACTATTTCGCCCACTGTTGCTCTTACTATCCTATAACTATCACTATTGCTACTACTATTTGCCAGAAATATGATAACACCAAGCACTCCGAGCGCAACAACCTGGCAGTTTTGTGTGCTACATGCAAGTGCTTTCAGAATGAAACTCCTCAAAGCTGGGTGCCTGCATACTATGGTAACTGAGTTTAAGTTCCTTAGCAGCAACCCAGAAAAGTCATTCTTTTGCGGATTGCCTGTGGTTGAAAGTTTTCTGTGTGGAGTGGATCACGTGGGCTTCTAGCCTCGATTTCCTCCAACGTGCAATGCAAAGAGCCATCAACGCACCATCGTATCTGCTCATACCTAAGCACCTGCCAAAATGGTGGGACCTCGGGAAATCAGGAAACGTGAAATGTTCTGAAGCCTGAAACTCTACTGTAAGTGCTTATGGTCAAGCATGAGCACATGTACAGACCCCAAATGTGATTGCTGTTCCATGCAGCCGCTGTGGATCAAGCATTCAAAGCTAGGTACAAGCTTGTGTTGGCGTACAACAGGTACTACAGTACATTTTTTTTAATTTGTCTTGTTTGTGTGTGCTTTGTTGTTGGTTTCTGTAGGAGGTACTAATTATCGCCTCGCGCCGCCATAGAAAAAGGTTTCCCATCCTGCCTGCACCGCTGTCTTTGATCTGTGCAACTCCCAATGACAGTGTGTGACCAATGCTGGTCAAACAGTAAGCATTCCGGAGCGGCTGACCTGTAGTGGGATGGTGTCGAGCACCCGCCGATGGGGACTGTATCCCAAGGCCCCTGCAAGACCTGGTTTTGCGTGTTGAGGGCCCAGTATAGCACAGGTGCCAAAGCAAAAACCAGAACTAGGTTGCTGTTAAGGAACTTGAACTAAGCTGTCATAATATGGGTGTATGGTAAATAATTAGATTTTCATATACTGTTAACTTGAGTTCCTTGACCGCAACACAGATAAAGGTCCCGAAAGTTTTGAAGAGATTGACTTCGAGAGTATGAACATGAGATTTCCCTGACGGTCTTGAACCCGTCTACCTGAACCCCAAGTACGTAGAATAATTGCCTTTTTGGCCAACTTTCTGGGTTTGGGGCAATTATTTTACCTACTTCTGGGGTCCAGGTACATGTAGCGGTTGGGGCCTAAGTTTTGATCACCAAGCCTGGGGGTGTTGGCCTAGAGTTAGCTGGGAAGGGTGTATTCACTATCCAGCTTTCGATGAACAGCCGCCTTGCAGTCGATCTCCAAGTTCCTTGGCTTGTATGTACAAGGCAGGACTTGCAGGGAGTTCACTCGTTCCGGCTGGTGCCAGGGAAAGCCCCAAGCTTCACATCCCCTGACGAAATTTAAGCCTAAATAGTTAGAATGTTCCCCAGGAATCCAAAAATGATAAATAATGCCTACATTGGGCCCTGAAGCCTGTAACTTTTTTGGATCCCTAGGGTGTTTCTTTGCGGATATCATGCACTATTTCTAAAGAAGGGTTATGACGGAACACTTTTGGAACTCATTCAGGCTTGTACAGTTGGCTACTAGTGGCCCGTAGACTTTCTCAAAGCTTATCAGCAAGTTATGGCAGAACGAGGCCTCTTCGAGTAGCCCTGATAGACCGCAACTGGCACACCAGGGTAATAGTAGTTGTTCCAGTGATAGTATACAAGTAATAGGCAGAAAGATAAGAGGACTCAGAACAGTCATAGTATACCACCCTAAACCTTAAACCCTAAACTCTAGCGTCGCATCATACTGCTCGACGCATGTGACACGCCTATGGTAGAAGCAGTGAATGTTGGAAGGGCTTCAGCCTCTCTCGTTCGTCCTTCCTACAGCCAAAAAAGGAGACATGCCTCTAATTGCATGAGCACAAAGGGTTTAGGGTTTGGGGTTTCGGGTTTAGGGTGGCTCTGCTATGTGGGTCACACTGCGCACACGCCCCCGGGATTCGTGTCTTACCTTGATTGTCTTGGCCTATGATTCGCCGCCCCAAGCTCCAGCGAGCATTGCCGATCCAGGTTTTTGTATTGCCCTGGTTCTGTAGTGAAAATATGTTCAATCATTCCTTAGGGGTATACTATACTATGATACAAACTGAACACAACTCCTAAGCAGACGACAGGTTCAGGGTTTCAGGTTTAAGCCGTGTGGAAGACTTCGGACAAACGATTCAACGATATGGCAGCATCAGCCGCTTTGAAGAATGCTTCAATGCCATGAATGCTGAAGAACATGCACGGAAAAGCCGCTTCCTGTGATGATCCCGCAAGTCTGTGTTCATTCCAAAGCTCTCGCCCTCATACCCTAAATCCCAACCTCAAAGCCTGGAACCCTTGAACCCAATCCCTTAAACCCTGACCCGAAGCCCTCAATCCCCAACCTAAACACTCACCGAAGGATCATTCCCCAGCCCTTTCGATGACGTCGGCGCCTGCCACCATCCGTACGGCGAGCGCACACTTTCCCGTCCCGCTGCTCGATGTGAAAGCTGTCCTAGTCTAGATATAGGATATGGGAGTCTCTCAAAGTAGGGGTACCCATAGCTCATCGCTCCTGTAGGGGTCAAGGGGATATCATGTAGGGTGTAGGTTTTCGACTTCTCAACATTGGCGAAATTAGCCTCGGGGTATCCTAGGATTAAGGCTCACCTAGTAAGCCAGACATGCGAAATATTTCGAGAAACTCCATGGTCGCAAATGTATTTAGGGGTTTCCCAAAATCAGGGGTACACGTTCTGAGGCTCCCATCATACGGGTTATAGATTTTTGGGGTCTAGATTGAGCTCCCCCTGTTTATGTTAACGATCCGTTTGGGGAACTAACAATACGCTTTGGGTTTAGGGCTGGCCTGCAACTGGCTGCATTCTAGTGGGTTGAAAAACAGGTACCAACGAAAACAAAGCGATGAAAAGGCTCCAGGAACATATAGCGGCTTCTTCAGCTAGAGGTATCGTGGAGACCGTAGGTAAAAGAAGATTATAGAGGCCCCTACTGAGGAGTGTGTAGGATTCATCTTGAAAAGCTTCCTTATAAGGTCTCCTGCAATGCACGACCAACCATACTACTACAAAAGCTTGTATGCGTGATATTACCATATGTGTAGACAAACTTGTATCACTTCTCCTACAGATGCCCCTGAATTGGAGCCTAGCGTCCTCCTTGTCCGCGTTCATGGTCCGGTACTCCCGGTTGCCTGCTAGATTGTCGCAGCGAAGGCCTTTCTGAGGCTGGTCAACGCACTTCCTCTGAATCGTCAGGGACAAAGACGTGTGACTGTTCGCATGTGGATGGAATCACCTATCTGAGCAGGCCTTCCTTCAACTTTTCATGATAATGCTACCTAATTCCTTCAGAAACAGCATGTTTTCTTGAACGTCGTGCTGTTCAATGGTAAGCTTCTCATTGTGGTGGCTGGAGCCGATTGTCACCTTGGTCTTGGACCAGAGCTTTTCGTATTGCTTGCACTGAACTCTCAAGTCCATGCCCCAGCCGCCCCCTGAATCCTTGGTTGTGCTGGATCTCTGGACAAACAGATTCCTCTAATAGGTGCTCTCACGCGAAAACAAAAAAACATTCTTCCCAGAGAGCTCTGGGCATCCGTCCGCTTCACGCACAGGTGGTTGGTATGAGAATTCCAGATGTGGAAGGTGTCGCCGTTCCTGTGATCGTTTGCGCGCTTGTGACCATTGCCCGCATCCGACTCGCACTCCACACGGTGACTAGGCAGCACGCATTTCATATTGTTATGGGACTTGCCGAAGTTGATGTCTTGGACAACGTAATTGACGTTGTGGCCCTTCGAGTCGCACTCAAGCACAAGGTTCATGTCCCAGCCATTTGAGTTGCGACGGCGCCGGTCGTGACGGCGGCGCCGGCGCCGGCGGTGCTCCAAGTGTCCACAAATACGGCCACCCTCCTCGGTGATCTTGAAACCGTCATCTTGCCCATCAAAGCCAAGGCGGTGGCCTTTGTTGCCTGCCCACCAAGGGCAATGAACAGGCTCAGGTGGCAAGACACACTTCTTGTCATGATGGGTCATACCCAGTGGGACCAAAATCCCACCTCCTCCCCCCTCATCGTTGTTCACCTTGCACGCTAACTCCAGCTCCATGCCCCATCCGCCATTCCACTTATCAACGCGCCTCACGCACAAGGCTCTGGGGTCGTTTTTATCATTGGGATTCCGGTAGACGTTGAAGCGATCTCCGTGCTGGTCATGTGCGTTGGCTCGGTACCCTTTGTCCCCAGCCTTCTTCCAACAGTTCACGTTGGAGAAGGTCTTGCCACAGTACTCTCCACCACCAGGGTTCTTCCCAATGTACTCGATGGTGACCCCGGCCTTGTTCATCGCCAACTCGCGAGAGTTGTCCTTCTCTGCCATCTCGAAGCCAAGGATACGAACCCATTTGCCGACCTGTCCCAGCACTGGCACTGACACGCCCAACAAGACATCCACCCCAATGGCCACACCCGTCGGTCCCCGTGCGTTGTACATACTCTGAAGGCAGTTGTACTCTCCGTGGCCCTGCTTGCCGCAATGTTTGTAGACAGCTGGGGTGAGGTCCCCGAGATTCAAGTTCACCTCCAAAGGTGCCGCAACGCCCAACGGAGGTGGGATGAAGATCGGAAGGCTTAGGGTGATTGTCAATTTGTTGATGAACGGGTAGTACGCCACCATCGCTATTCCGGTACATGCACTCCAGCCAATGGCCGAGGCAATCTTCCCAAGCACGCCACCAATGCACAAGGTGACCGAGGCCCAAATGTGAAAGCTTGTGAAGAAGGCCGCCTTATTGTTGCAGGTCGCCACGGACACCCCAAAGCTCAAAATGAACCTTAGCTCTTGCACGAATTCTTTTTGAAGGAAGCGAGAGACTTATGTTGTTTGTTGCTGGTGGTGCTGCTGCTGCGCCCCCGAAACCCAGCAAGACCAAAGAGCGAGAGAGCATCGCCAGGTTTCACTCCTTAGCTGCTTCGCAGAATGTGGAAACAGAGCAAAACTGTTCAGCTCCCACATCTGCTAGATTTTCTAAAGTCGAAGTCTTCAACATGCAAATTATAGGAGGGAACCGTCATGGCCGTGGATCACGTGCAAGATCGTGCAAGCACAACAAATGTTCAAAGGTATGCAGTCTGGCAATGCGTTGCGATGTCCAGAAGCAAGGCAACATGATCAACTTGAATTTTGGAGCCCACCTGAACTGACCTGCGCCCAACAACCCTCAGCCCAGACGAGACTCCGAAGCATACGGAGCACTCGCCCGTCACGCAACTTTGCGGCCCCTGCTGCTTTTGCAAAGTTTGAATTCTTAGCATTCTTGCGTTGCGTTCATGCAACTCGAAACGATTCTTTCTTGAATCTGTCAGTTCTCCGTATCCTATTACAGACCTTTAAATTGACACCGCATCTTGCCGCCAAGAATAGAAACCTTATGTACAAGTGCAAGCCTTCAGTTTATCCCGCTCTTTGCAGTATGTACTTGTGTATTCCTCTGTTATCTTTATGCCCCAATGTTTTCTCGTTCAGACCTTTGTGGTATACGTACAGGAATTAGACCACAGGGATGACCGCACATCCTGAAACCTCCGAAAAGCCAAAAGCACCTGGAACACCTTAGCTTAATGCGTCTTGCACTTTGCGTGGAGTCTGCTGCTGTCTTTCTGGGTAACAACTGCCGCACCGGCACTGAAATGGTGATTTACAAAATCCGAGTTCCCTGCATCTACGTGGAAGCAGAGCAATCCTAACCATAAGGACTCCCCCAAGGGACCCCTGACTTCGTGGATATCTCTTGCAAGCCCCGTCCTTGAGCAATGTCGTCAGTGCCCCCAGGTGGTCAAAGGCCATACCGCCAGTCCCGACACACTGCCCGCCGACCTCAATCTTGGTCAATCTTGGCGACTATAATCTAAGATTTGTGGGTCTAGTCATTTAGGAGATTCTGTTTTGCTCTTTCGAGGACGCCCAGGAACTCCATAGCACATTGCTATAGGTTCTCAATTTTGTCTCCTGGCTAACCTGTCTCTTGACTTGGCTTCCGTAACCATGTGAATAGGCTCCGGAACTCCCTTACGGCAGCACCTTGCGTTTTCAAGGGCCCCAAGAAGCCAGGCTGCATGGCACGGTAGGAACAGGTGCGAAGGTGCATTTTGTGGGATCCCCAGAGCTACTTCGGCAAGCGCAGGCTGAGTCTTTTTTGCAGCTGCTGCTGGGGAGGGTTCCGTGGTGTCACGCGGCCAAGAGCACCAAGAGCTTGTTCACCAAAACTCGCGAGCTGTCTTGGGACCAGCTCTTGCGCCATACCCCTTGAAACACTCTGCCGCGAGCGCGGGTCGCATACGTAGAATCACCGGGCACTGCAAACCATCCAGCAAGAGTCTGTGTTGTTATAAGACAGAGTAGGCATACAAGCATCTATGGCGAACTCATGGGAGGCATCCTGATTGCTCAGCCAACAGCAGCAAATCGAAATGTGTTAGTTGCAGCCACTAAAGCGAATACCAATGTGCTCTGACATGAGCAGGATTACCCCCCCCCCTCTCCCGGCCCCTGACCTAACCCCTCAAGGTCGTAACCAAAAATACAACCCTTCTTTCCTATTTTCCTAAACTCTCCGAAGCCGTACTGGTGGATAGCAGGGATCCCTATCGGCATTTTTGTATCATTGCCGGTCATATTCCCGACAACGCCTTCCTTCAGGAAGACTTCGGCGCGGTCCATAGCAGCAGTATAAGTAGCTTCTACCCCAACCCTTCTTCATTGTTATGCAGATACATAGATTTAAATGTTTGTAAGCACTTTCTTGGGAGGGGAGGGGGTGATGTAAAGGTGTGGGTATTTTGCAACCACACCCCAACTCCCAAGCCTTAAGCTCGTACATCCAACTGGAAATCCCCTGAGGCTGCTGCACAAAAGCTGCACTCAAATGCACCACCGGTACACGGCCCAAGACCGATTCCCTGGGACTTGAAGCTCTCGGCGACCTAAGGAATTGGACAAAAACCATGCCATTTCTCTTTGGAAGCTGTATACGACCATGGCAGGCATGGGCTTGCTAACCCCTCACCCCTTGCTAAATACGCCCTCACAAAAACAAGCCTTGAACAAACCACAGCTATGCCTCGTCTGACATCCAGGGTGGATCGGGCGTAGCGGGGAAGGGTGGTATAAGCTTTCTTACTTCTACCAACCTGAGAACGTCTGAGGTCAGAATACGCGAATGCGCATTCGATAAAGCCAGTAAACATTTTCCTCTTGTTCTTCTGTGGGGTATGCACGGTTACCTAATACACATCTGTCTCTTCTTCTTCTTCGCATTTATGGGGCTGCCTTCACCTGAGGCAAGCTAGGGCTAAACTCCACAGCCTGCACGGTTTAGTCTCCAGGGTTTGTGAAACTTCTGCGGGGCGCTGACATCTCTCTCTCCCTCTCTCCCTCTCTCTCTCTCTCTCTCTCTCTCTGCTTCTTATTCTTCTGAAGCCTTTGCGACCTCGCCAACGCAACCTTGCCCCAAGCCTGGTCAGCGTGATCCTTCTGTCGACGCGCTCCCGGATGCTGAAGATTTCAGCTCCCCTGCCTCCTTGCACCACCCCTTACACTTGATATCCACATTCGTTTTTCTTGGGGCTGTGCAGGGATTCGAAATCACCCTCTCCACCACTGACGCCCGGGCTGAACCAAGACCTGCTTCAGGGGCGTTTGCCCCTGTGTGAAGACTTGCTTAATTAACAGCATCAGCTTGCGCATTCTTGCCGAGGCTACCCACTTGGGGTAAGCCATCACAAGTTCAGCTGATCAAACAAATATTAGGTACCCCCCCCCAAAGATCCATGTTTTT